TGATGGCATTTGTTTCGGCACCATGTATATAAATTGACAAGCAGCTCATCTCCCTTTGATGTAAACTTTGGGATACTAGTAGTTTATACGGATGGAATTTGTGAATCCTCTGCAACCTCTGTGGTGGAGATATGTGGATTCTGGCTTGCAATAGTCAATACATTAACCTGCACAGCTTCATTTATTAAGTACTTTATCTTAATTTTTTTGGCTGTGTAAAACTTAAATATAAATACCCAAAGTGTCGTATAATCTTTTGTACGTTTTCAAGGACGGCTGACGATGGTGAAAATATCTCTCTAAATAGTAATAAAAGTCTCGTACAGCATTTTTATCACATCTATGTCGTGCTTTTCTTTATTGGAATAATCCATTTTTATAATAAAACTTACTTAAATTTCTAACTTGATTGTCAAATCATTCAAAGGTGTTATTATTATTCGATACTATGGAAACACTGCACTACCTATTTTATACTATTTTCCATGGTTACCTCTGATCAACTAAATTGAGAAAGTAAAAATCTTTCACTTCATTTTCGAAAAAACCTAACAATGTGCTAAATCACTGAAATCGTAATAAAATGATCTATTTGATGCAGACATAATCAAATATTGTTTTGTATTGAAAAAAACACAAAAGTTTCCGTCATATGTAAAAAATGAGAGTTAATTTCTAAAAATGTGTTATGCCGTTTTATATAGAATCCAATTTCCTGAAACTTTTCTATTTAATATTTTTCTGGCGAATGTTGGCGGAACTATAAATTTAAGTCTACTATAAATCAGTCTTTTTCACATATCTCCTAACAGTTGTCAAATTTTAGAAAATATTAAATTGGTTTGGAGAAAAGCTTTCAAAACTACAATTCTTTGTCCATTTAGCCGTTGTTGTATCTGCTGTTGTTTCCAAGACTCCTGTACTGGCCATCGAAAAAAACTCACTCTGTATATTAACATACCCAAAATAACCAAAAGCAGCACATGAATCATACCGAAAATATTTGGAAAAAGAAGGCACAATGCGCTCATTGTTAAAAATATGGGCTTTGAAAATATTTCCAGCTGGTTTTTGTCAGTTTGATACAGATCTGACTTCTTTTAAAATTCCTTATCCACAAGGCCACTGTTGTTACGAAACCGAAAATAAAGGAACATCCAAATGCAACATCACATCAGAATTTATTTATCAAGCATCTAATTACTGCAAAAATATTATTGCCGCTTTGATAAACTTCACTATTAAGAGATAAAATTATTCACGCTTGAAGGTAGCGGGCGTAAGAAAAACTAATTTTGCTAAAAAAATAAAGCCCTGAACCGATTACGCGTTTTAACGCCAACTGCAGATAATGAGTCAATCTATACAATCGGCATCCCTACGTTCTCAGCGTTTTCATGGGGTCGGTACAAACTTGCCGCTATTCTCCCTCACCGTAAACAAACATCACATGCTATTGAGTTGTTTTTATACAAGTAAACCTAGTTTTTGTTGAAAACCTACCTCCTAAGTGCTTGATACTTCAAATGAAAAGGTATGTAGATTGACGTACAATTTTTCCGAATGCAAACTTGCACAGAAATGCAGCACTCGCCCAAACTGAATCTAAATCCAAATCTGTCTAAAAATTCCCTGATCTGAGTAACAGAAGCAAAATCATCGAAAGTATATTACACAATTATCAGGCTTTATTTCGTAACTAATGAACGATGTACTTACTGTCGATTGTCCCTGTATGTGCAATGTTTTGTATTGTTTTACCATTGTTGTTTGTTATGTTCCGTAGTATATTGTTTATTAGCTTTGTCTGTAAGCTTTTCAAATTTTTGTGTGGCAATCAGGCATATTTTGAGTGATTAAATGACACCATCTTCGCAGGAAACGGTTCTTGTTGCAACAAAATGAGACGTTTTATTATTTTTTAATAAGTTATTACGACAATTTTTAGTTCATATTAAGAAAGGCTACTGTTAACTTCGATTTACTATTTATTTAATAGTGCAGTGCAACATTTAAGGAAAACTTATTCTCAAAAACTAGGTACATGAATAAAAGATTATAAATGCTGAAATGTTGTTAAATAAATGTTAACTTGCAGAGCCATATAATTTGCACAAGAGAACAAGCAATATAAATTGCTATTCAAAATAAACAAAGCAACTAGTAAAAAATCTCGCATACCTGTAACAATACATTTTATTTCCTCTCGACTTCAGACACTTAAGATACGCCTTCAACACGAAGTATCAGGTTCAACACAATACAGTTTTCAATTCACAATTTCAATGTTCTGTTCTAAAATTTTAAAACACCACAGTGTACAAAATAACGCATTTCGCGAAAATGAATTGGTCACCATCGGAAAAAACCCGGAATCAATTGCAGTGAAAATAGATCGCGCGTTGTATGTGCTCATACAGACGTTCGTTACTAATCGTCCCATACGGCGCAAAGGCAAACGTAGAATAAAAGCTGCCTTGGTGGAAAAGCTCTCAAGTAGTGCCTGTCGGCTCTTCTCTTGCCCACTTCTCGAAGAAGAGTTTACTTTACTGGTCATACAGAATCAAGCATTCAAGAGATATTTCAATATTTCGACGCGCCATACAGGAATTATTGTTATTTGCATTCCTCGTGTGTTGTCTGTCTGTACATTTGAGATGCCTTATATGGCCTTTAGAATAGATTCTTTTCAATAGGTTTGCAGCGCAATGTTAAAAGAGTTACGGATGATTAAGGTACACTTCCATGTTGTTAGAACATTTATATGTTTGCAAGAATTGTAAGATTTATTGGAGTTTCAACTAATTATAATTTGAAAGGTTTCTATTAAGAATCGAAAATGTGCATAAGCTTTTTTAATTACTTAATTACCTTTAAACGTTTATAAAAATAACGTTAATAAAGTTAACCTTTAACATGGTTTTGTATGGTTCTTATCGCTGTTTACATATAAACAGAAGAATAAACGGAAGAATTAAACTTAAGCTAGATATGTAGGTATATGAATTAGTCAATCTTACGTAAACGTTTATAAGAAATGTCTTATACGTACTGCATTCTGATGTATTGAAAGTGGTTTAATTCATAATAAAATTAGTACAAGTTATATTTTTAGAGATCAAATGATATCATATGATAGATATAAATTCATTTTTACTTTCGACTTTTGAGTCCCTTTCGGATCAAAACCACAAACTTTGATGTATTTTAGAGCAAAAAGGTCCTCTTATCTCGAGTGATATCTGCTGATGATGAGATGTTCTACAGTAAGGCAAATATACAGGGTGTACGAAATTGAGTACTCAACATTAACAATATTGTTATAATGTTATGAACGGATATAAGATTGATTCAAATAGCAAAAGCTGTGTTATTTTAAGCTGACTGTGACGGTGATACTACATTAAAGATGATTGTAGGAAAAAATAAACAATTTTTATTTTCTTAGTACGCAGTTTCGCCACTGTTTTCATTAGCGAAAGATAACTGTTCAAATTAGTTTAAGATTKTTGGATGTGTAGGTGTGGCTTATTTTTAGGCCTGGACAGTTACGACCAAATTTTTCAAATTTTGTTCTAACGTGACGTAACTTAGGTAACTATTGKAATCGCTCGAAAWTGGTGTATCAATTGAAAATATCGAAGTGCGCCGGSTTGAAATGGTATATCTTTTTTGCTAGGAAATARTCGCATAMAGGGTAATTCAAAATTGGCGTCATTCCTTTTAAGGGGTGATAGAGGCTCACTTGGGCAGTACAAGAAAAATATTGAAAATTTGTTRTCCCAAAATTTCTAGAAGATATTAACAGTTGAAGATCGAACTTCAACTTTGTTATTAAGCACTATTTTGAAATTGATCCATATTTAATTGGTAGCATATTGCAATACTTAAGCATTCAAAAAGAAAAATTACGATCTTTGCTTCAAATCACAAACATTTTTTATATTAAAAAAGTTCTCTTCTACAATTTTTTGATGAAAAGTTACAGCCGCAATGATGTTTTTGTCATTAACAGATTGATTAATTACAGGTGGATAGCCCTTGTCAATAATTACAATAATTTGTCAAACTGTTACTTACTTTGAATTTCCTTTCACGAATTTGCGGATATGCGATTAGTTCAGGGAAAATGCTACAGTAACATAGCAGAAGCTGAAGGAACTCACGCCAACAAAGGACGAGGAGAGTGGTTCCAGGAAGATAGTGGAGGACAATCGATGTTTGCGTTCCAGACACAGAGGAACACGTATTGGACATAATCCAATCAGAACTTTCCAGGGGCCCTCAGAGCACAATAACTGACCCTTTCCCAAGCAACAAATAAATACCGAGAAAATGCTACATTCCTACCACGTTTGTACGATACACACAGTACAAGGAGCACACACATGTACAAATAGAGCAGAAGTGAATTAACTGAATACGAGAAGCTGCTTGATAAGAGTGGATAATCAGCAGATTACACAGGCACTACCTTGTTTGGAGTTAACCATTCAAATGTTTGGTGTTGTATGGTTTATTTATAAACACCAACTCGAGGTTATGAGAACAGGTTGACATTTTGAAAGGACGTTCCCCGGTCAACAAATCTTGTTGAATTAACCGTTTATCCTTGTCTATTTTATTGTCACTTTTCGTATAATTCCATGGTTAGCTGAGTTTTAATAATTACAATGCAACAGGTATTTGCGCAAAGTTAATTAGGCAGATTACCTTGAAAAACATTGCTGGCCGCCTTTTGGTATAGTTTTTCGCGAATGTTTCAGTTTTTAATAACAATTAATTTTTTTACTATTTTTTCTGTACTCCTAGAATAGCGCCACACAACACCTCCAGAGGAATGACGCCAATTTTGATTCAAAATTGGCGTCATTCCTTTTAAGGGGTGATGGAGGCTCACTTGGGGAGTACGAGAAAAATATTGAAAATTTCTTTTTCGAAAATTTCTAGAAGATATTAACAGTTGAAGATCGAATTTCAACTTTGCTATTAAGCCTTATTTTGAAATTGTTCCATGTTTAATTTCAATTGGTAGCATATTGGAATAATTAAGCATTGAAAAAGAAAAATTACGATCTTTGCTTCAAATTACGAAAATTTTTAATATCAAAAAAATTCTCTTCTACAATTTTTTGATGAAACGGCACAACGGCAATGATGTTTTTTGTCATTAACAGACAGTAACAGGTGGATAGCACTTGTCAATCATAACAATAATTTGTCAAACTGTGACTTACTTTGAATTTCCTTTTACGATTTTGCGGATATGCGATTAATTCAGAGGAAATGCTACAGTAACATAGCTGAAGCTGAAAGAACTCACGCCAACAAAGGGCGAGGAGAGTGGTTCCAGGAAGATAGTGGACGACAATCGATGTTCGGGTTCCAGGCACAGAGGAACAAGTATTGGGCATAATCGAATCAGGGCCTTCCAGGGGCACTCAGAGCACAATAACTGACACTATGACCAAATAAATACGGAGGAGGGCTACGTTCCTACCACATTTGTACGATACACACAGCACAAGGAGATACAAATGGAGCAGGAGTTAATTAACTGAATATGAGAAGCTGCTTGATAATATTGGATAATAAGGAGATTACACAGGCACTAGCTTGTTTGCAGGTACCCATTCCAATGTTTGGTGTCGTATGGCTGATTTTTAAACACCGATATTCGAGGTTATGAGAACAGGTTGACATTTCGTCAACAAATCTTGTTGAATTTACCCTTTATCCTTGTCTATCTTATTGTCAGTCTGTATAATTCCATGGTGACCGGAGTTTTAAATAATTACGAAGCCACAGGTATTTGCGCAATGTTAATTAGGCAGATTACCTTGAAAAACATTGCTGCTGTATTTCTGACATAGTTTTTTGCAAATTTCTCAGTTTTTAATAACAACTTA